GGAGAGTTCATAGTGTAGCAACCATGATGGATAGAGTACCGAATGGTAATCATATTTTATATTTAGACATGGTCGAAAGTAAAACATACATTGGTAATTGGTTCTCACTAGCAGATGGTATCATTATCGAGAAGACTTACCGAAAACGAAAGTTGAATGCGTACAAGTTATACTCAAGTCCTTATCATTTTTTTTTAACCCCATAAAATTAGCGGCATTTCCGAATTAGGCAGTTACATTCGTACATATATATATATATACATGATTATTATACCAATAAAACGGATTATTATAGAACTAAAGAAATAGACAAGATGAGATTATTGAATATTCTGAGTATATTACTAATTGCAACAACTGTTAGTGCTAATCAACTTCTTGCAGATTCATTTAGTGACAATGTGGTGTACTTTGATACTCCTATGAAGGAGGATGAACCTAAATTGAAAGATATGTGGGATGGGTTATGGCCGTTTCAAGGCATAAATACCTTTGCTCATTTAGAGCATGATAAGTGCTTACTAGATCCCGCATTAGAGTATGATATTGGAATTATTGGTGTACCGTTTGATACAGCTACTTCATATAGACCTGGTGCTAGATTTGGTCCAAGAGCAATTAGAGCAGCTTCGCAGAGACAGACATCGCTTAGAGGATATAACCAAAGAGCGGACTTTAACCCTTATACATCATGGGCAAAAATTTTGGATTGTGGAGATATTCCTGTGACGCCAATGGATAATTCATTAGCATTTAAACAAATGAATAAAGGGTTTGAAGAATTGATAGCACGCCGTAATTCTAAAAACTCTACATCAACTCCTCCCAGGTATGTTATATTAGGAGGTGATCATTCTGTATTATTACCACATTTACGAGCATTGCATGAAATTTATGGAAAGATTAATATTCTTCACTTTGATGCCCATTTGGATACATGGGGTCCAGATAAATATCCATCGTTCTGGCATTCCAAACAAGCAGAGCTAAATCATGGTTCTATGTTATGGAAGGCTAATAAAGAAGGTCTTACAAGTCAAACTAATGTTCATGCTGGAGTGAGAACTAAGTTGTCAGGTATCCAAGACTACGTCGATGATGATGACCAGAATTTCACTAGAATTACAGCAGATGACATATGGATAAAAGGGGTACAATATGTCGTAGATAAGATCTTAGATACTATTCCTCAAGACACCCCGACGTACTTATCGGTGGATATAGATGTATTGGATCCAGCATTTGGGAGTGGAACAGGAACCCAAGAACCTGGTGGATGGCTACCAAGAGAATTAATATATATTTTGAGGTCTATTGAAAACTTGAGCATAGTTGGTGCTGATATAGTTGAGGTTTCACCTGCATTTGATACAGCAGAAATTACTGCCACTAATGGGGCACAGGTAGTATTCGAGGTTTTGACAAGTATGGTTAAAAAAGGAAGTTTGGCCCATTTGGTGAAAAATAATAATCCTAAAGATTTATTAGAAATTAAGTCTAACAATGACGCAAAGTCAACCCAATACCTTGATAAGCAGGAGATTAATAAATTAATTGAAACTAAGTTGAAGGAGTTTGAAGAAATTAAATTTAACTTATTGAGTGAAATCGAACAGTTAAAGTCAACACAATGAATTTCTCTATGCAACAATATGGTATAAAGATTTAGAATAATGTATATCAAATTAGTCTGTATATAAACACACATAAAACGAAACTAAATAAAACGAAACTAATGAGAATTGAGTGCTGCAGAACATTAAAGGTATTAAGCTGCATGTTTTTTCTTAGAGTCTATGGAAAAATGAAATGGTTTTACCCAGCCACAGAAACGAAGCGAGGAATAAATGCTCTGATACCGGATTTTATAAAAAAACAACAAAATCAGTTGCTTAAACAACCAACAACATACCAGCAACAATAGCACCGGCAACACCGACGTTCATTCCGTTAACGATAGCGCCATTTTCTATGGAGCTAACTCCACCAGTCGAGTTAGAAGAACCGGCACCAGTACCATTGACGGCTGTACCGTTACTTGCAGTACCGTTGATTGCTGCCTTGTTGTATAAAGCATTCTTGGATGAACCAGATGGCTTGACCCAAACCGTAGTAGTGACTGGGGCCTTAGTTTTGTCAAATCTACCGGCCTTGTGAGTACCTGAGCTACTAGATGTGGTAGAACGCTTGGTCTTA